GTGCCTGCTTCTCCTGCTCTCTGCCTATAGTGCAGAAGGCAGGACACGTCCGCCCAGGGCAGACACTGCTGCTGGCTGCCGAGCCTTTGGGCAAGGCTAGGGAGTGTGGCAGTGGACAGTGGGCAGAGTCAAGACTTCACGGAGCGCAGAGCAAGCGAATTGGGGGTCTGGAGGTATCACTAATACCAACTTTCAGGTAACTTCCCAGTCTGGCCTGGAGCAATGCTTTTCCTATTTCCCCTGATTTCCAGAGAGACCATCACTTCCTATGATCTGGCCAAGCACAGGTAACAGGTAACACTCTGCTACCTACTGGCAGGTGCCCTCCTGCTAAGAACACCACTTAGGGTTTTCACAGCAGGAAATGTGCCCAAGTCAGAGGCCTCCTTCCATGACTTCTGCAGAGGTGCAGGGGACATACCAGCCTAGGCTCAGTAAGTGGCAGAGTGAAGCCACACTGTGGGTCAGAGGGACAAGGACGGGCTTCTAAGCAGCCAGTGCAGGAGCTAAGCTTGGGGTTTGGCTGCAAAACAGAAAGACCCTTCTGGGGACACTGCCTCCAGGGGCGGCCGTGTGTGCTGGGGTAGAGGTTGCAGCTCCAGAAGAGGACATGAAGCCACAGAGCCCAGCAGGAGGTCCCTTGCCAATGACCTTGTGCATGTAGAAGCCTGCCTGAGCTCCCAGAGACCAGCCTTAGGGAGCTTCCTGGCCACTGGCACTTCCAGGTGCACAGCAAGTCCGTCATACCAGCCCAGGTGCACACTGCAGAGCCAGATGCCCCTGACTCATGACCTGCAGCCTGTTGCTGAACCCCCGTTTCAAAGAGCACGTCATTCTGCTGGGATTCCACAGGCCCAGTACACAGCTGGGACCACACACCAGCCGTTTGTGCTGTCAAGGGGCCAGCTTTGTTTTCTGACACACTGATACGTGCAAAACATCTGCTTGGGACTGAAACCTGTGGTATGTGTCCAAATGATGATCTTTTACATAAACACTTCCACAGACACCTGTGTCATAAGGAACTCTCTCTCTTTCCCTAAGGATTATGACTGACCTCTTCTGGGTGATCTTTTTTTTAAGGGCATCCAATGAAGTTACTTAAAAATACTTGTTCAGAGTTTAGGAAGTGGTCAGTCCCCTGCTCCCTCGGTGTCTGAAGGAAGCTAAAGCTAGAGCCCTCTGCTGCTGGGAGCATTTCCTGAGCAAACATCTGGGGAAAGGGGGCCTTGCCGGGGGGGGGGGGG